TTGTCTCGACAATGGGTGAGCAGTGACAAGCTCCCAGGGCTGCTGGGAGGACTAAGGGAAGTGCTCACATAGTAGGTGCCCGGCACATAGTAGGTGCTCAGCACGTAGTAGGTGCTCAGCACACTGCATTTTTTTGTTCTTCAGTGTTTATTGGTCTAGTGATGTCAGGTTCCATCCCGTCTAGCCCGGATGGCGGGTCCTGCCGGTGATACCTGAGTGTCTCTATTGCAAAGACCCCATTCCTTCACCCAGTCAGGGCTCTACAACTCTCACTGACTATGCGCTGCAGCCACCCCATCAGTCTCCACCTCAGCTGGCCCCCTCTCTCCTGCACCTGGAGATTCGTGGTCATCACAGACTGGCCACGCTGGGGATGAAGGAAACGCCCGGGCTCCGAGGGAGGGAGGCTGAGGCTAGGACCTCGGGGAGGACATGGTCACTGACATGCATAGGGTGGGAGGTCCTTCCAGGAGGAGGGAGCAGTGCTAAGGCTCTGAGGTAGGAAAGAAGCAGCAGGATGGGGAAGGTGGGGCAGGGCTCGCGGAAGGGGAGACGCTGGGTCCCATGGGTCCTCCGGGACAGGTCGCATTTCTCCCTGAAGGCAGTGGGAGCCACAGGTGTTTTCAGAGGCTTGGTGTGGTGATCGGATGTGCGCCCGCCCGGGGAAGGCCCCTCTGGCGGGGGCTGTGCGGTGGGGCACTGGGGTGCGGGAGGTGGGACACCGTGAGGGTGTTCCGCAAGCCATGCGGGGCGCCTTGAGCTGGGGAGCCCAGGCAGGGGCGGGGAGGGAGAATTCCCAGCGCCTGGCCACAGTTCCTGGGGCGCACCTGCAGAGGGCTCTACACCCATCCCCTGGGAGCTTTCCGAAGACACAGAGACACACGATTTCTTTTTCTCCGTAGCCACAGGACCTAGCAGGGGTCTGGCCCTAGAGCCCGACATTTACTGCACAAATAAAGGCAGTGAGAGCTCAGCGTGGCCTTGCCTCTGCCAGTCTGGAGCCACCCTCATGGCACTGTCACCAAGCAGATGGGTGGTGACCTGGTATTTCCTCGTCCCAATTAAGGTATAATTACTGAGCCTCTTCAACCTCATCTCAGCTCTAGAGAAGTTTGGGGGATGGAACGGTTAATCCCAGGGCCTCAGGGCTGCAGGGGCTGCGTCTGGAAGGCGGGACCTCGCTGGAAGCACAAGCATCTGCAGTCCAGGTCCCTGAGCTCCCAATCTGAGGGGTGTTGCTTCAGGACAACCTTATCCCCCTCCGTTCAGGTTTGCGTTTTTCTGATTGGCTGAGGGGTGGAATGTGCTAGAGCGACGGGAGGGCGTGCTTTGTGATGAAGACAGGGTAGCTGCAGAGGGAGAGAGCCGGAGAAGGAGTCTCATTTTAGCCACTGCCTGGCGGGGCGGCACCGGAGACGGTTTCCTGCTCTGTAAGCGGGGCACAGGCAGAGCCTTTGGGCCGCTGCTGACCTGAACGCACCAGGCCAACCACGAAGATGTCCTGTGAATGAGGACCAGGAGTGGGTTTCCTCTGATCTCCAGGGAATGGCACCCACTGGGGGGACAATCGGCACCACGGGTCCCCAGCCTCTGGAGCCTCTGCCCACGTCAGTGCTGAGGTTTTGGTGGAAGGGATTCTGTTCCCAGTGAACCAGGGAGAGCCTGGGGTCCACAACTTGACCTGGGGGTGTAGGGTGAGGAGGGTGCCGGGGCTGCTCTGGTCAGGTTCTCCACTGAGAGGCTGAGACTGGAGGCTTTAGTTTAGGGGGCTCAGAACAAGGGTGGGAGAAGCCTGTCTAGGGCACTCCATGCCAAAGCAGGGCCAGGCATACCCAGGGTCCCCCTGTAGGGAAGCTGAGCCCAAATCCTAAGTCCGAGGCACCTGGGCCTTCCGCGTGTGGGCTGCAGGGCTGGGAGGGGAGGAAGGCAGCTCGGAGTGAGCAGCCCCCGGGTGCCCTGCAGCGGCCACAGCGCACGGGAGTGGGGCTGGGCCAGTCTGCCTTCGCGAGGTTTTGGATCCCAGCTCGGGGCTCCAGGAGGGGGGTTGCACCAGGCGTCGTCAGACCCATACAGAAGCCCGCAGATGGGAGGACGTCAGGGCACATGTGAGGACGTGCCTGGGGCTCAGGGTCTGGGGCTGGTGCCCTGTCAGCCCTCAGCACGTCAAGTGTGCAATGAACATATGATGCCCCCAGTTCAGCTCCACAAGCACTCTCTGCACACCTACTACGTGCTCGGTCTCTGCCCCGTTCCTGCAGTTGGAGGGGTTTCCCTGGGCCTGGCCTTTCCGGGGGGAAGGTGCCCGCTTGGACCTGGACAACGTGACGTCCTGCGCAAAGCAGGTCTTCAGATCCGGGCCAGTCCAGTCAACCTCCAGCCTCCAAGGCCTCCTAATGAGGGCACTCCCCCACACGCGCAGCAGGTCTGGAGTGGAGGCTTCCCTGTGGGCCCAGATGCAGCACAGACCCAGCGACAGGATGGCTCTCATGCTGGGGCCACGTGGCTGCTGGGGACACCCAACCCCACCAGAGATATGGGGCAGCTGCTGGGACGATCAGTTCTACTCTAAGATGTAGAACGGAAACATTGCAAATTCTCATAGGCACGCACAGGCCGAGGAAGCGGATGTACCTTTCCACGTTAGCCAAACTCTTGCTCTGGAGTTGAATGGAAGGAACGTCTATGTCAGTGCATGAGGCAAAGCAGATGCCTTTAATGAAATCGGCTCCTGAGCTGGGCAGCATCTGACCATCACCCGCTCCTCTCACCCCTATCCTGTTCTCCTGCTCTCGTGAACTCATCTGGGCATCCCGGACCGGCGGTGCTCTGGGGAGACAGCTGTGAGCACGTGTGCATGGCATCGACTGGGTCTGCACTCCTGGCCCTTCCAAAATCTAGCGCAGTTCGATCCCTGAGCCAAGACTGATCTGAAATTAATGCAAGATCTCCTTTTCAGGAATTCTTAGACACTGGATGAACTCTCGGTCTGGCTCTGCCACTGACTTACTCTGCTAATGGGCAACATCTTTCCCCTCTCTGGTCTTCCGTCTGTCTGTCTGTCTGTGAAATGGGAAGGATGGGCTGTAGGGTCTCCCTGAGGTTCCTTTCAGCTGTAACATTTTCTGTTGGGCCTCTCTCCCATGCCCAGGTGGGCACTTCAGATCAGCTACAGCTTCTCTAGATCCAGCTCAAATGTGTTGTGAGCACACTTCCATATACATTATCTAACTGTGCTCTGGAAATCTCAGGAGGGTAGGCGTTAGCATCCCCATTCTGCAGATTACAACACAGAGGCTCAGAGAAGTTGAGGGTGTTCACTGAGCTCACAGAGAGAGCCAGGAGGTTACATTACCGAGATTCAGTCTCAGCCCTGGCTCTGGCTTCCGAGGGGCTGAGGACAGATGCTGTGAGCCCCATGGCAACTCAGCTTCCTCCATCCCTGTCTCCCTGCCTTCCCTGGGCGCTCAGCTCTGGGCTCTGGAGTTGGGGACCGAGGGATGGAGGTGGGCTCCAGCGGGGGCTGGGGCTGGGGGCCACTGCGAGGTACAGGTGGACTTGGGCTGGCAAGGGTTGGCAAGGTTCTGGAAGGCTGGTGAGGGCAGGTTATCAAGGGCTGAGAGCAGCGTTTCTGGCCCAGCCAGGGTCTGGCTCTCTCTGGTCAGTCCTCTAGGCCCCACTGAGCCAAAGGAGCTGCCTGCTCTTTGCTCTGCTTTGCTGGCTGGGAGCCTCTCCTTGCCCTGTGTCCTGCCATCCCCAGAGATCCACCGCCAAATGTTCCAGTCCCCACAACTCATCCCCCAACCTTCACCAGACAAGGGTAGGGAAGGCAGAGCTGGGCTCAGACCCGTCTTGACAAGGAGGTGGCCAACTTCAAGCACGGCTTCCCGTCCAGCCAATTCCAACACCGCCAGTCTGCACGCAGCAGCGTCTGAGATCTCAGTTGTCTTTTCGGAAACCCTAAGCCTCGGCCGCCGGGTATGACACCGGGCATGACACCGGGCAAGTGAAATCTCTCTGTGGGCCTCAGCGTCCTCCTCCCAGGCAATAGCCGGCTGGTTGTCCCCTCCCCCCGCCACGGATCTCAGGTCCCTTCCAGCCCTGACATTTTAGGGTCCACTATCTTTGACTTTCCTTTCCCGGAGGCATGGAGACTGACCAGATGCCTCTGGAGAGCGCACCAATCTTAAACATTGCTCTCCCTCTCAGTCCCTCCTCCCTCCCTCCACGCCAGAGGCGCACCCCCACCCCGCCCTGGCCCCTGGCCCTGAGCCCCGCAGCTCCAGAGACGCGAGGGCAGCGCAGTTGGCCGCGACTGCGGCGGTGGCGGCGGTGCAGGGGGCGGGGGAGGAGAGCAGCGCCCGCCTGTCCCGCGGCCTCCGCAGCAGCCCGGGCCCTGGCCTCCGCCCGCCAGAGGGGTCCCTGGAACGTCTAGGTCTGGTGCTCGGGCCTCGGGCCCGCTGGGAGACCACCGCCGCTCCATGGCACCCAGCCGACCCCTGCGGCCTCGCATCCCCCAACCTGGCAGAGCGAGCAGCCTCTCCTCCACTCCCAGCGGCGGCGGCGGGGCAGGGGGCCGGCGCTCGGATGCCTCTGTTGCGCCCTGCCCGGGCGGGGGGCCGTCTGAGGCCGAGGGGGTCGCGGGGTGGGAGTGGGGGGGGAGCACCATTTTTGGCTGGAGGTGGGTCCGCACTCCTAGTCTCTGTCTGGTCTTCTGGACCCCCATCTCGTCCCGCACCCCGTTGCTCTCGGCACCTCCGCGTCTGGGCGCCTGCGTCCCCGCCTCCCACGGAGCTCGCCGGGTGAAGGGCAGCCGCAGCCCGCAGTCCCTGCCCCCTCTGCCCACCGCGGGGTCACCCGCCCACCTGCGCCAAGCCTCCTCTCGCGCCGAAGGAGCCGACAGTGGGGGGACCAAAGTTCGGGCACCATCGGCCGGCGGAAGGCCCGGGGTGCCGAGGGCCGCGGCCGGGGCGCTGGGAGGTCAGACGCGGCGCTGGCCTCACCTGTTTCTCCAGCGGCTCCTTGGCCGAGAGCGCAGGCTTGGGGGAGGGCGCGCGGTCGCAGACGCAGCCCTCCAGCAGGTAGAGCCCCGAGGGCCGCGAGCTCGAGTCGCTCTCGAAGTAGAAGAGCAGGTTCTGCAGCAGCGCGAACCACTTGGTTTGCCATTTTGTGTTGTCCGAACTCCGCTTGCTCAGGTAGCCTTTGCGCGTGCCGTCCTTGCGCGCCAGCAGTCCCAGAGACGCGACGTGGCCATCGTTCAGCCGGATCCCCTTCTGCATGGTGCTCGGAGGCCAGCTAGACCCCACGCGCTTACATCTTCTCCGCGCGGCACCCGGCAAGCCCCTGTCCGTGCGCGCGGCGCGCTGCCTCTCTCTGGCTCTCGCTCGCTCGCTCGCTTCTGGTCGCTCTCCCCTCCCCCCAAATATCTACACTCCGGAACCTGGCGCCGAGCCGCGGCTTCTGGAAGCGAGATGTACCATTCCCCGCCGGAACCCCTTCTCCGCTCCTCAGCGCCCCGGAGCCCAGGAGATGCCGCCCGACCCTCCCCCGGCGCCGGGCAAACTGAGGGACTGGCGAGCTGCGCGCGGGCGAGGGGCAGGCGGAGTCAGGTGACGCCGATCCCTCGAAGAGCCGGTTTCAGCAGCGCGGACAGAGACACGCACGCAGCCCGCCGCGGCGCAGAGCGGCGCGCAGGCTGCACCTTGGCGCCACCTCCCCCTCCCCGGACGCACACACACGTACACGCACGGACACAAATCCTGCCCCTCTACCCCGGTCTCCCCTGCTTCCCTTCGGGTGGTAAAAACCAAATCAGATCAATGTTCGTTTAAGCCCATGGCACCGCGGAGGCTCGCCATCCTGGGAGTTTGCGTCTTTGCGCCCCACCGCGGCGCACTGTAGACCTGGGGTGAAGTCCCAGTTGTCATTTTCTCTTCCAAAGGTCCCCTCCCGGTACTTTATTTTTCTAATCCGAGGTGGATGGAGGAGGGGGGTTGGCGAAATAGATCCGAAAGAGCTTTCGGTCCTATTCTTTGCGTAATTGGCCGGACCACATTCATTTCAGCGTCCAGCCGCACTCCCGGTGGCTTCCCCAGCGACCTGAGGGGTAGCACAGGGGTTGAGATGGGGGAGGGTTAGGTGAGCGCTTATTTTATTTCATTTTATTTTATTTTGAGGGTTGCCATAATTACTGGGGCACCCCCTGCGCCCCGAGGTCTGGCTGGCGAGCCGCTGCCGGGAGTTTTCTGCAAATACCCCCCAAAGCCTAAAGGCGGGCTTCAAACGCAGGCGCCAGGGACCATGGGAGCCTTCAAATAGCTGCTCTGGCGCAATGATACCTTAATGATAGATTTTCCGTTCTTATTTTTAGCTCCCGTTCGCCTACACAGTTACACGGCATTTATCCGAGAACGTCACAGCGCCCGCATGCTGCACCGGGAGGGCGCGCGGGCCTCCGGGCGAGCCGGGGCGCGGGAGGGGGAGCGCGCACAGTCGTCTGCCGCAGAGAGCACCACCCCGCGTGGCGCCCGGCCTGGCTCAGCCCGCGTGCAGCGGCGAAGGGCGGCCGCGCAGCCCTGGAGAGAGAGGAAGGAAGGAAGGAAGGAAGGAAGGAAGGAAGGAAGGAAGGAAAGAAGGAAGGAAGGACACCATCTTTCAGCAGCGAACATGCGGGCACCTCTCTCCCGGCGCGCGCGCGCGCACACACACACACACACGCGCGCGCGCGCGCACACACACACACACACACACACGCACGCACACACATACACCCTGGTCTGGAGCAAGGAAAGGGAATCACGTAGTCCTGGGTAGGCCCGCGGAATCCACGAAGAGAAGACACCCGCCGTGGAGGAGTTGGAGCGGCCCCAGCCCTGGGCACAGTGGCGCAGGCCTGCGTTCCTCTGGTGGGGAGCGCGCTGAGGAGGGACTGTGTTCACCTTAACTTGCCCTCTCAGTGCCCAGGCTCTGGGTGCGGGGACTCAACGTGAGGAACCAGTGAGACTGATTTTCCTACTAGAATAACGAAAACAAAGTGGGAAGATGGCTAAGCCTCTACATTCAGCCTGCGTTGTCCCCAGAGGGACCCTACACTGTGACCACCTTTACTTCCTGTCTGCCCTCTTTATGGAAGCAGAGTTTTCAGGAGTGAGGTTCTTCACCGAAACTCTGGTATTAGGCGGGATACAGAGGCTGCTAACGCTTCGGGGCAGGGGCTCTCTTGTGAGTGCTCTAGGTCAGTGAAGTCATTCCACCCCTGCACAGCCCAGTGCAGGAGGCTAGCCCCAACCCACCAGCTCCATTGTGCAGGTGGGGGAAAATGAGGGACGGAGGGTCTGAGGCACTTGCCCAGAAGAAGTGGCAGAGGTGGTGTTTGAGCTGGGTAGTGTGTTCCCAGGGTCTGTGTACAGCTGAGTGGGTGGTCCCTGGGTTGGGGGGGGGGCTCTTATCCTAAAAGGGGGCGGGATCTCTTGGGTGCGTCAGAGCCTAGGCTGGGCCTGCATGGCCGCTGCTGTGACAGAGAGACCCATGGTACCTGAATTTGAACCTGGACTGCCCCTCGGAATCACCTGGGAATATTTGACAAGCCCGTGTCACAACAGGTCATGAGCGGGCTGTATATTTTCATGTGCAGCAAAGTTGGGGAACCATGAGTATTCTGCAGAACCTGTGACCCTGTCATATGCTCGTGGATCACTGGGGGTCTCGTTAGGCTGCAGATTCCCCTTGCTGGCAGGGTCTGAGGTGCCTCTGCACAAGCTCCCTGCTGATGGGCCTTGCTCCACTGCGCTCTCCTGCGCTGGAGAATTTAGAGCACTTGGGAGGTGGGAGGAGATGGGATGTGTTCATTCATTCATTCATTCGTTCATTCATTCATTCATTCACACATTCCTGCCCACCCAGTGTTCATTGGGCCCTTAGTCTGTGCCAGGCCTTGGGCTGGGCCACTGGGGACATAGCAATAAACAAAACACAGTCTCTGCTTTGTGGAGTGTAGGCCTTTCCCACAGGAGGAAAACCATCTTCCCCTGAGTTTGGGGAACAGGTGTCTGTAGATAAGGAAACAGGAAGGAGAATTAAGGAGTATTTTGGGGAGTTGATCGCCGCACTTAGAAGTGGCCAGCCAATCTTGCTAAGTCCTCACAGGGGGCATTCCCACCAGGCTTTGCACAAACTCAGCTTGGGTGGTGGTCTGTGGGTCTGACTGGCCTTTAGGCCTGGGTCTGGGAGGACACCTGGGTGTGTGTGTGTGTCACCTGCTGAGCAGGGCAGTGTATACACGGGAGACCTCTGTGTGCTGTGGGAGGACAGGTGTCACATTCAGAGAAACTTGGCTCTTTTGACAGTATGTTAAAAAAAATGTAACTTTCACATCACCTAAAAAAATGAAGAATTAAGTATGTGGAGTCAGAAGTGTTTTTGGAAATGGAGGTTTGCCCAGGAGGGTTTGCTGCTCCAGCCTGGGCTCAGAGGGTCAGCTCCGTCAGCCACCCCCCACCCCGCCCTCTGCGTGCAGACACCAGGGGTTTGCACCGCAACATCCCAGCCAATGAAAATAACCATATTATTCTGATGGTAAGTGTAATAACGCTCTTCATAAAAATTAGCATAATATAGAAAATAAAAGCATAACTCCTTCTGTATGTATGTACATATACATACATACAAACATATATATATATATATATATTTGGTATTTAATCTTCTTGACTTTTATTCAATGCTAATCTGTTTACCAAAATGGGCTTCATGCAACGCGGGCTATCTGAAATCTCACTCCGGCTCGCTTCACTTAGCGGTGTATGGGACCATGTCCTCATATTAGCGCAAATTTGATGACTAGATTTTTCATGGTTGGGCATCTAGGTTGTTTGCCGATTCATAGTTTTGGGGAATAACACTGCACTAAATATCTTTGTGTACACGCTTCCCTCCCTTGAGCTGAATTCCTGAAAGTGGCCTTTCTAGGTTAAGCAGTGTGCGTATGAAACGTGGGTACATATTACGCTAGATTTCCAGAGAGGTGTTCTACTCTGTGTGTGGCTGTTATGGGGGGACACGCCGCCCACTTCACCCACCAGTCATGCCTGGATATCGAGAGTCTCCACCTCTTGAGCATTGCCTGTTTGGGAAGGGCAAAATGATATCCCCTTCTTGTATTAATTTGCACTTCTTTTATTGCTTGAGAGATTAGACATTTTTAAATGCTTATGATCTTTTGCATTCTTTCTTTTGTGAGTTTCCTATTAACACCTTTTTTCAGATGTGTTAATATTTTTCTTGTAGATTTGTCACCGTGTTTCATATATGAGGGATATTCGCCATCGACCATCATGCACCTTGCGAATAATTTCCACGGTCTGTTGCTTGTCTTTAATCCTGCATGCATCTACTATGCCTAAATACCATGCATGTCTTTATAGGGGTTGTAAGAACGTTTACAATTTGAACTGTAGACAAATCTTTTTCCTTATGGTTTCTGACTTTGGACTTTCCCCACCTCCCCCCATCTGTGTCCCAGCTCCTTCAAGATTGAAACATACTTGCCCACACTTTCCTCTCTGTTTTTATATTTCATTTTCCATGCATAATTTTAATTTGGAGTTTGTTTTTGAGAGTGAGGCTGGGATCTGGTTCATGATTAATTTTTCCTAATTTCCTAAGTTGTCCCAAAACCACTGGTTTGAATAATCCAAATTCTACCACTGATGTGAGTAGCATCTTCATCGTGCACCAAATTCTTAACTATATTTGGGACAGTTTCTCTTGTTCTCTTGTTTTGTCTGTCTGGTTTTATGCCAGCGACACGTGACTTTATATCTTACTGCTCTCATATCCACTTTGAGACCTGGTAGAACAAGACCACCCCCATCACTTCATATTTTTAAAGTGTTCCTAAATATCTTTTGCATTTATTCTCCAAGATTAATTCATTACATGTCAATTGCATCTGAATAAAAAAAGGTTAGTTCATTATTCATTTTATCAAGTTCCAGAGAAGACTCATTGAGGTTTTTACGGGAATTACATTGAAAATATTAATTTAGGAAGAATTAATATTTTATGATATTTTTGTCTTCTTATTCAAGAAAAGAGTGCATCACTCCAATTTTTGTCCTTCAAATTTTTCTGACAGCGTTATATACATTTCTTTATATTTGTCTTGTACATTTCCTGTTTAATTTATTTCTGAGTACTACATTTTGTCGTTTCTAATAAAAATATGGTATTTTTCTATTTTTAAAAAACTGGACATTATTAGTATATAAGAAAGCGATTA